AGGTGCGAAATCAAAGTGTGTATCTCCTATCCTGCATTTTGATTATTTATTTTTTTTAAATCCCTCTTTAGCCACTGCATTAAAAGGCACTGTGTCTTTAGCGAGGTAGTGCGTTATGGCAACCAGCTGTTTGTAAGTTCCTAAACTAGAAGGTAAAGTCCACACCAGGTGCTTTGTAACCACTAGTTAGTTTAGCTAAAGTAGTTAACATGTTCTAAAAGTAAAACATAGTCATGCGTACAGTCACATTGAATGACGTAATATCCAATAACAAGAATTTAAAGTGTTTAACTGCTTAAAAATGCATAAATATATACATTTTCATATGAAAATGAAGACAAATTATATTTTAATTGTACATTACATTACAGTCAGTCACTACAGATGACGCACATACCTGCATCGCGAGCTGTGAATGCATGTGAAATACACAAGTTATCAAAACATTTAACTTTCATTTATTGTGACTAAAATATTCCCATATTACTGACGTCCTGTTTTTCTTTAGTATTATTTCATCTATTAATGCTTCTGAAGCGGCAGATGCCATCATCCCTCTCGTCCGTGCTTTCCTGTTTTTTGGGGGGGGGTTGTGTGTGTTTCACATAGTTCAATTCTGCAATCCTGATTGGATAAAGTTAAAGTGTGCACACTTAAATGGCTAGTAAAGCTGGATTTATTTTGCCTGGTGCCGCATCACGCACCTCCATTGACTGTGCATGCACCTCGCAAAACAGACGAGGCTTTTATACTTGTCGCGTTCAACGTTGTGATATTCTTTAAAACGACAAGGGGCGGTCAAAAGTAACCGACTACGTCATATCATTAATATCATTCAATATTTTTAAACGAATAATTTTTATTAATTTAACAAATTATTTTAATGATTATATAAATGTTTATAACCATTCAAGATTTTTTTACAAGAACCATTCACTTGCTTTTGGTCATATCTCGGACGGTTTTACCTATTAAAGTTTATTAAATTATTAATGACAAGAGAATATGGGTTGCTCTACAAATATATATTTTTTATAATGGAAAGAATAAAAGCCAAAAAAAAAAAAAAAAACACTCACTAAAAAATACAGATGTTTTTTTTAGACTTAGCCCAATCCACAATTCACAGATTACTGTCTACTGGCTAATTTTTGTTCTATACCTATGCTTAAAAGGCAATAATGGTCAAACATTCCAGACTATTATCATCAATAAAGCCTAGAAACAGAGGATCAGTATATTGTGAACGGATAGGTTCAAATATTCCTTTCCAGTTATCAAAGAAATAATTCTGTGTCTTTATTATAGTTTTGTAATTATTAAATTGTTTTAAATTCAATATTGTAATGTATACACCAGTGTAAAACCTATGAAAAGTAGAAAAAAATATATTCTGTAATTGTGTACCTGGGTCTCCACTTTTGCCATGGCCTCTTTTGGCTTTAAGAAACTTATCCCTCAGGTTTTTCCAAACCTTTTAACAAAAACTTTCCTCCTTTCCTATGACTTGTAATTTCTAGCCAAGAATTATTGATTATCTGGTCATAAAGATGTCTGCACAGGCGTACCCGTTTCAGACAAAATCTCTTTAAAGAGTGTCATACTCAACTTAAATCAGTTGAGCAAACAGTGCTGAAATCATGTCGCACGCACCCAAAGCAATGTCACATTTGCCATGTGCACTCAAGTGAACTAGCAGACGCATCGAGTATAAACCAGGCTAAAGACTGTCACACACAGATGCCATGCACGCGTTTACTCTGGGCGGGGGAAACTAAATAATACATATTTCATGTCACAGCCTCTTGTGATTAGCTAATCGGAACGTTACAAATCACGATTGTAATTCGATTTCGATTTCGCACAGACCTAGTTACAACAGTTAATGTTTCAAAATTGTGTGGGTTATTCTATGTGTTGTGGGTACCAAATATGCCAGACTATACGTTGTTTCTTGATTTGTCATCACATGATGTCCACAACATGCATTCTGTCTCAAGGAGCCTCATAAATGATAAATGTCTCTGTAATTGTCTGATTTGTTAGCTTACATGGTAATTCCAGTGCTCACTCACTATGCTGCAGAAGTGAGTTTTGGGAGTTTTTATATCCTACTTAGAAGTTTAAATAAACTTTATCATGACTAGGTGTCACTAGTAAGATGTGTTGTAATGACAATCACAAAAGACACTATAATATCTATTAAATAAGTACTAGCAACTAAGAAATACATGTATATATTTTGCAAATATAACACACTGCATGTGTAAGCTGACCTAATCTGCTCCTACGTCATTAGCTACATGGAACAAAAGATCCTGCTTCCTCAGCAGCCAATAAGCTAGCTCCTCAGCATTTTAAATGCCTCGAAGTTGTTTTACACTTTCAATGGCCAGGGCCCCTTCTCCACCCCAGCTCCACCTGTGTTTAGATTTGCTATGGGGTTACATATATATTATGTTTGCAGCAGCATTGTTTTATAGTCTCAGAATGTATGTCTGTGAATATACTGGCAGTAGGAAGTCTCAGTACTTGCTCTGCCATAATAATTAAAGCAGCAGCAGCAGCAGCAGCGTAGCAGATTTATGCCGCAACGACCAAATGCATCAACATTGCCATATACATATTTATTACCATACTAAATCTCTAAGAGAGTTGTCATGACAGAATAGTATCTAATAAACAAGTACTAGTATCTTAAAAAGTATTAGTACTTAAATAACTGAAAACAGATAGGATGTTATATAGATTTGACTATAGATCTATAGCTATAATGGCAGCACAACTCTCTGAACAGTGGCACAAGGAAATCAAACTCAAAAGTTGAAACGGGTGAAAGAAACAGCGTGCCTCGCGTTTTACATGTGCTTTTAGATGCAATATGTGTACAGTCCCTAAAGGTAAACGCAAGCCTGCATCAGGGTGATCCGTATTGAAACGTAATGTTGGAGAAGTACTGTACGTTTAAAAGTCCAGTAGGCTGCCTTACTACCTTACCCCGTTGAAAACATTTTGTGATTTTGGAAACAGCATAGGTAGCCTATATAAACAAAAATATCGAACAAAATCCATACAGACATGACAGTACACTGTGTAAATGATAACCTTTTCCTGTTAATCAGAAATTGCTGCATATTGGTTTTAGTATGCAGACGTATATATTCAAATCATATTGGATTTAGTTAGTATATTTTTTAAAGAGGATTCAATCAGCTGTTATAAATTAATCTTTGAATGAATTAATTAGTCATTCTAACACGTTCACACTAGGTTGCACTAGAGGGGAGTGATAACTGAATATATTCCAGGTCATCATAGAGCAAGTGAGTTGTGTTTGGTAGAGGGAACAGCATGGTGAACTCTATATATACACATTAGATGTTGCCTACCCTGTTGTTGTCTTTTGGAAGGAATGCTTCAATACCGCCATTTAGAGCGGTAGCGCTCCTTTGAAAAGACTGCGGGACCAAGCTGCAGTGGAGGACTTCGGCCATCCAAGCTGCTGTGGAGGACTTCGGCCAAAGATATACACATATATCTATGATCTAAAGTTTTCCAGAGGTCAGTGTGCAATTTTTAAATTTAAATTACGAAAATTATAATTTTACATCACTTTTCTACATTGATAGATAAGTGATTGCACAGGCATTCCTGACAAAAAGCTTGTGTTTGTGTGTATAGAAATGTACTATCCACCCTCCCTGTTAAATTTGGTCTAATCTGTGTCCTGAAACACATCCCCTCTCCTGCTTTCACTTCTCATACTGACGGAGGGAGCGATTTGTTTGTGAATGAATCCCTGTCATGAACGACTCCTTCACTAGCCGAAAATAATTAGTTCCTGGCACGGCAGCATCTTGTTGTTATATATATATTTTTGCATTGCTGATTTTATTCAACAAAACAAGCATAAGCCAAGTATTTTGTGCGAGTTGGTGCTACTTTGCCTTATGGTAAAAGCAGTAAGTGATTGTATTATCATCAATAACATTACCTGTTTAGCTCATAAGGTCATAACATACAAAAACGTAAAAAACAAAATCTTACCTATGAAATGTTTAGTCTTAGAGCTTTGTTTACTTTGTTTGCTCTTTACTACAGTACATACGTAGACAGCGATAAAGTCCAGCATCTTCACTTAGTAACACTGTCTTGACTAGTGCAGTTAAATGACATTATGGTGAGAGCACTGTACAAATATGGAGGCACTATTGACGCATACTCAGGGTCCCTATGCGTTATCTGTGGTGAACTAAGGCTACCAACCCACTCTGCTTCTGACATTTTTGTGAACATTATTGTTTCTGCTCAAATACAGGACCTGTTGTCCAGGAGGTTTCAGATGTGGAGGACTACATGGTGATCGTTGATTGGGTTTCAGCAATTTTTATGCTCATCATCAACGAGTAAACTCTATACTGAGACTTATAATGACACAGTCAGTGACTCTTAATTACTCATGGAGCTATTGTTTTTCCAAGAGAGAGGCGGTGGATATCATTGCATCTCACTCAAACCATCTAAACAATATTCACCTCACCATCTATATCATTTAAACAGACTGTGTACTTTTAATGACTGTTTAGTAGTGTATATTGATTGCTTTTGTTTGTGTGGGCTATATTTACATGTAGAGAAATTAAACAAGAAGGAAAGGGAAAAAAACAGGCTTATGAAGTTTTGAAATTTCAGTATGTGTGAAATAAAAATTCTGTGAACTCCCTCGGTGTAACATCTTGCATACAAAGAGAGGTGTTACAGTATGCCTACACTGTTTTTTTTCCCTTAATTTGCTAAAGCACACACATTTGTTTGTGAGTGTACACAAAAAAAGTAGACACCTAACAGATTTGATTGATGTATTGCTCTTATCTGTGCAATCAAAACTAAAAGTTTAATTTACGTTCTTTTCAGCGTTATCAGGAGAAGATGCCTCAAAACCCGTATTCGCGGTCTTCGACCCCTGGGGGTTAAGAAGGGACTTGTCATCCTGTACTGACCTGCTGCTGGTTTTCTCTCTGCAGGTGCAGTCGGGCCTGGATGTATCCACGTGTCTCCTGAAAGGCCTGTCTCTGAGACACCTCTGCTGGGTAATGTGTGCAGATCCCAATGATGTTGGTGCACAGGAAGATCAACACGTTTGCGCTTAGCTGTGGAGGGAAAACGAAAAACAGATTCAGTGTCAATAGCTATTTTTGTTTTAATGCACATATTGAAGTATAACATCAGAAACAAATATGCAAATGTGGTATAAAAATTTCAATTACATTTTAAAAAAAATACATTGGTATACAAAAAAATGGTATATTTTCTTAACTGACATAGCAAATAATGTAATCAATGTGACTCATCAACTGCCTCCTCTAATCAGTTCCCGAATTAATAAGTTGCTCAAACTACTTCAGAGAAATCCAACTTCACAAGTGGGGTTGTTTCTTTAGTATAGTAAAAAGTAAACTGTTTAGTAGCAAATATTTTTATTAAAGAACTCAGAAAATAATTAACTGAAAGTTTATGTCCTTATAATAGAATCATAAAAATAGAACTTTACAATAATAAAATACAATTGGAGAAAAAAACATTTAAATAATAAAAACAGGCCAAAACCAAAATCAATTCAATTGTTCATTCTTCATTCAAACGAATGAAGCCAAAATAAACATATTAGTCATAGGTTTGCAGAAAATAACCCATGTATGAATCACAAACCTATTTTCTTGTATTTTGGAGGCAAGTCCATATACAAAGTATTTATTGTGAACAATGAATGCAGCACAATGCATGTTTTTGTTATTTCAGCAAATTGATTACAAAGAGCAGCGGCTGAATCAGGGTTTGCAAGCTTCCAAAAAATAAAAAAATTAAAAAATAACTGGCCGATTCGCCAATCCAAGTAGCCCATTTACCTATCAAAACTAGTTCAAAGCTAACCTAATGGCCAATTAAAACTAACCCAAATAACAAATCAAAACTAGCCCAAAGCTAGCCCAATGGTGAATAGAAACCAAAACTAGCAAAAAACTGGCCCAATGGCCATTTAAAATAAGTCCAATGACCAATCAATAGTAGCCCATTGACCAATCAAATCTAGCCCAAAAATCAACCTAAACAAGCCTAAAACTAGCATAATGGCCAGTCAAATCAAAACTAGCCAAAGGCTAGCCCAATGGCTAATTAAATCTAGCCCAATGATCAACCTAACCAAGCCCAAAACTAGCACAATGGCCAATCAAATCAAAACTAGCCCAAAGCTAGCCCAATGGTGAATAGAAACCAAAACTAGCACAAAACTAGCCCATTGGCCAATCAAATTTAGCCCAATAATCAACCTAAACAAGCCCAAAACTAGCCCAATGACCAATCAAAACAAAGCCAATGACCAATCAATACTAGCCCAATGGATAAACAAATATAGCCCAATGATTAACCTAAACAAGCCCAAAAGCTAATCAAAATCAAATATAGCCCAAACTAACTCAGTGGGCAAAACTAGCCCAGAGCTAGCCCAATGGCTAATTAAATTAAAACTAGCCCAAACTAACCCAGTGGCTAATCAAAACTAGCCCAAAGCTAGCCCAATGGCTAATCAAATCTAGTCCAATGATCAACCTAAACAAGCCCAAAACTTGCCCATTGGTTAATCAAAATCAAAAAATGCCGTAAACTAACCCAGTGGCCATTCAAAATCAAAACTAACTTAAAGCTAGCCCAATGGCCAAACTAGGCCAAAACTAACTTATTGGCAGATCAAAATCAAAACTAGCCCTAAAGCTAGCCCAATGGCTAATCAAAATGAGTCCAATGACCAATCAATACCAGCCCAATGATCAACCTAAACAAACCCAAAACTATCCCAACAGCCAGTCAAAATTAGAAACTACTCTAAAGCTAAGCCAATGGCCAATCAAATGTAGCCCAATGATCAACCTAAACAAGCCCAAATCTAACCTAATGGCCAATCAAAATGAGTCTAATGACCAATCAATACTAACTCAATGGTCAATCAAAACTAACTCAAAACTAGGAAAGCTTTTTGCACAATTTACAAACATAACAACACGAGACAGACTACAATATATGAATTGACATTGGTCACACAACGAAGACACATTTGAAAATGTTTTGTGTAATTTTCACTTGGAAAAATGAAGACTATATAGTGCTTTAGATCTATAAAGCTGATTGAGACACACCCCTTAATTTTTCCAATTCTAAAATGTTATATCTAACAAAGACAAGCAGAGCCCAAATAAGCAAAAAGATGGTTGCTTCTTTTTTGTGAGATTTTCTTCATGTTAGGATAAGAACTCAGCTACTGTTTCTCAGCTGAACCTTTCAACAAAAAAACAGCTTTAGCTCAGCACTCAGGAATCCTGGGACATCTGTCGTCCTCCGCTGCAGTCTGGGAAGAAAAGGCCACCTCTGACCCGCAGAGGCTCTTCCTGTGGAGGAGTTTACACTCGGGGAGCCGGAGAGAAGAGCTAAAAATGGAGCCTGAAGCGCAGCCAACAGTGTGGCTTCCTCTGGCTGAAGGAGAGCAGGGGCTGATGGAACGGTGATGAGGGTTACTGCAGGTCACATGGTTCACACCAGCACACTTACTGCCAGACACTTGGTGGGCTGTCTCCTAAAAAATTTTTTAAAGTATATGCTGAATTATTACTTCCAGGTCACTAGGACAAGACGTCTATATATTATGTGGCTGCAAGAAAGCGAAAATAACCTGGAAAACATCAAAAAACAGCAGCTATTTTCTTGCATTTTGGAGGCAAGTCTATATACAAAGTAATTATTGTGAACAATGAATGTGGCACAATGCATACTTTTAGTTATTTCAGCACATTGTACAGCTTGTACAAGAGCAGCGGCTGAATCTTGGTTTACAAAAGCTTACAAAAAAACTAGCTAATTTTAAATAATTTTAAATAATTTAAATAATTTTCATCCAACTAGCTTATTGACCTATCAAAACTAGACTAAAACCAACCAAATGACCGATTAAAACCAACCCAAATTACTAATTAAATCTAACACAAAACTAATCCAATTGCCAATCAAACCTACCCGAATTTTCGATCAAAGAAACCCAAAGGCTGATCAAAACTAGCCCAATGGCCAATTAAAACGAATACAATGACCCATCAAGACTAGCTCAAAGCTAGCTAAGCCAATGACCAATCCAATCTACCCCAGTGATCAACCTAAACAAGCCCCGAACTAGCTCAATGGTGAATAGAATTTAAAACTAGCACAAAACTATCTCAAAGGCCACTTAAAACAAGTCCAATAACCAATCAATACTAGCCCAATAACAATCAAATCTAGCCCAATAATCAACCTAAACAAGCACAAAACTAGCCGAAAGCTAGCCCAATGGCTAATCAAATCTAGCCCAATCAAGCCCAAAACTAGCACAATGGCAAATCAAAATTAACTAGCACAAAACTAGCTAGTGGCTAATCAAAATCAAAATTAGCCGAAAGCTAGCTTAATGGCTAATCAAATCTAGCCCAATGATTAACCTAAACCAGCCCAAAACTAGCCTAATAGCTAATCGAATTTAAAACCAGCACGATATTAGCCCATTTATCAATCAAAACAAAGCCAATGACCAATCAATACTAGCCCAATGGCCAACCAAATTTAGCCTAATGATCAACCTAAACAAGCCCAAAAGCCAAAACTAGCCCAAACTAACCAAGTGGCCAATCAAAATCAAAACTAGCCCAATGGCAAATCAAAATGCTAAATTATTACTTCCGGGTTACTAGGACAGGACATCTAAATTTTATGTGGCTGCGAGAAAGCGAAAATAATTTTGATCACTTTAATGCATTTAAGAATTTATTTATTTTTTGAAAATGAATGAAGAAAAATGTCAAAGAAATACAAAAATAAAATGCTGACCTCAAACTTTAAGAAAAAGTGTGTATTTGGAACAAAATAACAATAGAGGCAGTAACAATAAAAAAAATATATATATTTGCCCATGTACATTATCATGTGTGTATATGTTATATGTTATGTTAATATTTAAAATATTTTGAACACTGAAATGGACCCTATTTTCTCACAGATATCAGTCAAGTTTGGTAAAGGACAAATCATGGTTTGGGGTTATAGTCAGTATGGGGCATGCGAGAGATCAGCAGAATTGATGGCAACACCAGCAGCCTGAGGCATCAAAACATTTGTGCTGCCCATTACATTACAAACCACAGGAGAGGACAAATTCTTCAGCAGGAAAGCGCTTCAGCCTACACATCAAAGTTCCTGAAAGCAAAGAAGGTCAAGGTACTGCAGGATTGGCCTGCCCAGTCACCAGATATGAACATTATTAAGCATGTCTGGGGTAAGATGAAGGAGGAGGCATTGAAGATGAATCCAAAGAATCTTGATGAACTCTGGGAGTCCTGCAAGAACGATTTCTTTGCCATTCCAGATGACTTTATTAATACATTATTTGAGTCATTGCAGAGATGTATGGATGTAGTGCTCCAAGCTTATAAGAGTCATACACAATATTCATAAATTTTCCACTGCATCATGACTTTATATTCTATACTGTACATTATTTCTGTTAAGTGACAAGACTTTTGTCTAAGTAAAGTCAGACCTCACTGTCCTAATTAAATAATTTTAAAACAAGGCATGATCATATTTTATTTTGGTAAAATAAGCATAATCTAGAGGCCTTTGTCTTTCAAATAAGCCACTTCTAATACCAAATGATCAACTAAAAGTCAAGTTATTATTTGCTGATCCTAAAAGTTGGATAGGCAACAATACTTTTATCAGGTAGTGTATATTTGTGACTTTAAAGAAAAAAGAATCGTTATTTTGTTCATATTTTGACATTTTTATATTTGGAGATTTAAAAAAAGCTGTTACTTTATATTCTATTTACTTACATTCAATATGTTTGACCACATACAGAATATATTTATATATGTGTATGTATATACTCAAAGACTGTCAATACTGATGAACATGTGATTTTTTAGCTTTTTATTATTAATAAATTTGCAACAATTTCAAACTATCTTTTTTTCACATTGTCATTATGGGGTATTGTGCGCAGGATTTTGAGGATCTATTTTGGAACATAAAAAAATGTGGAAAAAGTGAAGCTCTATGAATACTTACCAGA